AAGGTCCCCAGGGCCCCATGCGCGGGTTCTGGGCCAGGCCCTGGGTGTATATAGGGCAATGGAGGACTTAGTGTCTGCTCCTGACAGAACACAGGGAGGTGGTGTGGCCTAGTGGGTGAGCCCGGGTGAGCCTCAGCCCCCTCTTCTGTCAAATACGGGTGACAGTCCCTACCTCACAGGCTTGCTTAGGGGTGATGTGAGATCACACAGAGTTGTTATTATTAAGTGACAGGGACTTCTGCCCCCTCCAAAGACATCAACAATATAACCTCGAATGGAAGTGGGGCCTCGCAGGTGGGGGCCGAGGATGCAGACCTCAGACAGGGAGTCACGGGAGGGACAGATGGGACTGAGACCTCCAACTTCAGCTGGTTTAAATGGAATAAAATCTTCCCCAGAATGAGTATCCCATCTTTGCGGCGTGTCCACTGGTGAGGGCACCCCTGCTAACATCTACAGCGCAAAGAGACCCCTTCTCTCCTCATCTGGGGATGGCATATGCAGCCAGCTAATGCAAAGCGAGTTCTCGTGTTATTGTTGCTTATTTTTAAGTCCATTGGGTGCATCATGGCTGATCATCGTTCTGACATTTTTCTTCCCTCATTAAGAAAGATGCCCCTGGTGAGTTACCTGTGCCGGGCGGGCTCTGAGCAGAAAATAAGTATGGCTGGCATCCGCTCTGCTGTGCTCTCTGGGTGTAATTAAGAAAAAGGCACCAGCAGGAGAGAAAGAACAGGGTAGAAAACGGTCTGCTGGTGACTGTTCTCAGGGATGCCCCTGTCTTTAAAACCATCTAACTGTCACCCCTCCCATGACATCTTTCTGGACCCGTCGGGGCCTCCCTCCAGGCCTTGAGCCCTAACTCTCCCCTCCGAAGACTTTGCCTTCCCTGTGTGGTTTGTTTTTCCCCTTTAGCATGTCTCTGGTCCCTGCTGTGGTACACAGCCCTATTCTCCCATGTCCAGGGCACCTGCTTTTCCTGTGGGGACCCACTGAGAGTCCAAGCAGTTTGGGC